CTTGCATTTAACATCAGCACAGCAAGATTGCTCACTGCTAAAGGCCATAAATAACACATTTGTTAGTTTGTGACATGTTTGTCTGAGGTGTGATTATAGTTATTATGCAGCAGTTTTAAGAAAATGACTCTTTTTGAATTATTCAGATCTCAGTGGATGGACAAAAATGAGAAGCAACTATATTTTCAAAAGAGTATATTTTCCACAAGTCCACTATGAGTTGATGATTTGCTATTTTTGGAGATTGTTTGTATACAGACAGGTTAGCAGTTGTCTTTGGGAAAAAAACTCTGAATGCTAGGAGTATAAAGCACTGAGTTCAGTCTGTAAACATGTTTTAGGCTTGAGTCAGGGCTATTAAATATGGCTCACAAATTTCAGAATTAAGATCAGAATTTGTCTTTCAAGTACAAATTAGGCATACTAGACCCAGAGATCCGATTTATGTACCTCCTTAACCTCATGTTAACCTCATCTGATTTATGTACCCCCCCAACTTCAGGAGTTTTCTTCTAAATTTAACTTGTTATTTTATTGCACTTCTGCATCTCTGTTTCCTTATATCAAATGTCAAATTTTCCAACAAACTCAGAACTGACCCCTCTCTGCTTCCACTGAAGCCAGTCATGAAACTTTTGTTGACTTTATGAAAAGGATTTTATAATGTCATTGCCTGTGAAAGTGGGAGGTTGAACTCTGTGCCCCCAGGAAATCTATTCCAGTCTTGTGATCCTATGACTTGAGTGGGAACAGACTAAGGCCAGTGTGAGTCCTTTGGCAAATCCAGTCTTAAGCCTTGCCTACCCAAATAAGAACATCTGGAAGCGAGAGGCTCTCTGTATGGGACATATATAATTTTGCAATAAAAGTTACAGAGCTGGCTGGATTCAGAGTTCTGTAATTATCCAATCAAAGCATTTGCCAAAATGTGGTTTGGAAGGTCAGAGCTTAACCTATATATAAACCAGAAATGTCTTCCAGCCCATCAGGTGCACTATGCATTTTCAGTAAAGCAGTGCCAGGTTATAGCTGTGTGCCTTGCATGAGCAGTTTCTAGACGAGGGAAGTTTAGATCAGCCATGGAAAGTTCTGTTTTGCCAACGTAATGAAGTGGGTGTGCATGGCTGCAGGCTTTGCTGGATCTGCTGCCAGGAGAAGAGAAGGAGGAAACAACTAATAGCCAAAATCTCTTTCTCAGCTAACTGCTGGCTGGCAATGTCCACAGTGGTGCCATGGATGGCTCTGGGTTAAAGGGCTTTGCTCTGTCATTAAATTAAGCTTTAGTGTTTCTGCATTTGTTTGCATCTGGGGTCAGCTGGACAGAAGATCAGAAAAGGAAAATACTGGAAGTCTCAGTATATAAATCCGATCTGAAATTTTGAATGCTTCATCCAGGACTGAGAATGAAAAAAATCCCCACAAACCCCAAACCAACCCAAAAACCAACCCCATGTGGGTAGTGGGAGGTTGTAAGGGTCACTTCTGTGAGATTTGAGGCAAAGAATAAGGAAAACAAAATGTGTTTTAGGTATGAATGTACAATCTATGGATGTTTGCATCATGAGCGGTCACTCTCTGTGCCTAGCATGGGCTGCAAAGTGCCCATTGTGTCTTATATGTATTTAAAATATATGTTATTAACTTGACTTTATCCCACATAAAGGGATAAAATAAAAATCTTTTAGTATAGAAGTAGGAAGTTTAGCTTGTGATCAAATGTAGAACACTACATGTACCGAATAATGGCAGTGTTCACTCACAAGCTTACTCCGAGCACCTTCAAAAGATTTTAATAAAGGTAAACTAGTAAACCTCAGGGAAATAGGTACAGGAGGCCAAATTCAAGTGTTGGAAGTGTAAATCCAATTAATTTATTTTGCTTTTGTGGCATTGTTTTCACTTTCTTTCCTGAGAGAGTAGAATTTAGCTTAGCAAGAATGCTTCTGAACGTTTGACCTGTGGGCAAACAGAGGCATATGAGGATTATGAGACTTGCCCGAGGTCACTCGGTGAGGAGGCAAGCTATGGGAAGAGAGTCAGTCTGGTCAAATATCTTCCAAAACCACTGATGCACCCAGACTTGTTGACTTACAATGGAATCCAGACAAGGCTCTTTTTTGAAAGAACCACAGCTAGTAATTTGAAGCTTTGTGTCTGACCCTAGAGAGAGTACTTGTTCCAGTAGCAGGACCTCAGTTACTAGTATTGTACACAGTGCAAGATGGCAACATTGCTCTTATGTAAAAACAAAGTTTAAGTCATACTAATAAAAAAAAATATTTTCTTGTTCATGTTTTCAGAAAAAAAAAATTAAGAAATAATTAAAAACATAAACTGACAATATATAATCTGGAAAAGTAAAACCTGGGGGATCTAGTAGTGCAGGCAGATAATCTCTGGAGAGGATGTAATGGTTAATTCTCCATCACTTACAGAGTTGATTTCTATTTTTAATTTCCACATGACTAAAATCACTGTGTTCCTCTAAAATAATTGAATGGTCAGTGCTTAAGGGGAAGAAAAAATTAAATGCAGTGGGTCTGTTGCACAAGTCAAGCTGTGATTGCAGGGTCATTGCTCCCTTAGTAGTTCAGACTCCCTCTGAATATAGTGCTGGTGATGACTTTGCTACTCTGCGATACCAAGCAAACTTGTGGTCTTTAACATATAACAGTGCAATACCAAATTAACCTTCCTTTCTACTTAGCTGGAGACTTTCAGCCTTTATGTCTTAGAAGAGTTGCTCCCAAATATAACAGGAATAGAATGATTTTGAAGTGGTTGAAAAGGAGACATGGGACCCAGTGCTGCTTTCTTGCCTCTAGTTCACAGGCATGAACTAGGGCTGGGCTGTTCGGGAAGGTATATGGAGTACAGTAGGATGGTTCATCACTCCATCAGATGTTTTCTTCAGCAAGAGTGAGAGTAAAGGAGCTAGCACTAAGGTAACAGCCTTGGCAATGGTAGCACATCAGTTTTTTTCAGCTCGTCCTCCGGGAGATAACCCATGCCTGAGGTTTACACTTCCTTCGGAAGGATTTGTCTTGCAAAAGCAAAGACTTTTAGCATCAACATAGAGCCCTGGGTTGTGGCAGTTGCCCTGTGTTGTCATGAATTATTTGGAATAAAATAATTTTGAAATCTAATTTAGTCATCGCTATTCCCTGCCTATTTGCTCAAGGAATGATGCAACCAGGCTAGTCTGTGGTCTGCTTTGGGTCTTGGGTTCTCATCAACTGGACGAGTATATCAACACCAGGATTTCCAAGTTGCAAGGAGGGCATGCCAGAGCCCTGATTGTATGAACCCCAGACCTCAGCTTCAGATTTAATGTTGAGTGGTATGGTCACAGCTGTCTTTCTGTAAGGAGGGGAAGGAAGGAAACTTTGGCCATCTTTACAAGTCATTAATTTCTCAGAAGACTAAAAGAAATCTTTAATGAAATGAACGGTTACAACTTTTGCATCTGTGTGGTAAATGAACTCAAGCAACAGGGCAAGATCTGCTCACGAGGAATAGCAAGACAACAGCTGACTCAGCTGTCCTCACCCTACAATTACATGGAGAGGGTAACGCCAACCTCCTGTTTAGGACTCCGGTGGCCACAGCAGGGCCCTTTTGCTTTTAAAACATATTGTACTGTTGAAAGGAACTAAAATAATTAAAGGCCCATTGTTTCCCAAGCCTTCTTTTTTGACTCCTGTGTGCAAAATTGAGAGCCTGCAGATATTTTTATCTGTTTGTGTATGAGAAAAGAATGTTTGTGCCATTTTTTTTAAATCCAATGTGAGACAGAAGAATATTTCTTGATTAATACCAGAGCCAGTATGTATGTGTGTATATATATGCTCACACATGTACATGCATGTTTACATGTATATATATGAATATACATGTTTGTATATATGTAATACACATGTGTACATATACATATGTACTTATTTGTGTATATGTATATATACACATATGAAATAGAGTTAAATCTTAATTATGTAGCAGTTACATGATATAAGAACAGTTCATAGAATTTCATGTAATTCTGTCAACAAAAATCAAATTAAAATGATCAAAATAATCCTTGTGACCTTTAAAAAAAAATTCTGTAAATCTGTGAAAATCGCATGTGCTTCTGTGGGATTTTGGTCGATTGCTTATAAGGGAAGTGAAGACAAAAGATAACATTTGTGAAAACTGTTGTCTCATTTTCACTTAGTCTGTAAGGTCGGGACTTGCTCTCTGTATGTAGATGTGTGCAGGCAACACAGACATCACCATTTCAGCTAGTCACATGATGTTCCCTGTACAGACAACATGGACATCTGGCTCACGTAGTCAGTGGGTTCCTAGGCGTGATTTGTCTCATCCTAAAGCAGACATCTAAACCAGGATGGAGATATTGTATAGTGAAACTGTCTGTTCCTCCTGCTAGTACAAGGAGTCTAGTGTAATTAACTCAGATGTAGACATCTACCTTGCAGGTGACTGAGGTGAAGCCTACCTTAGGAAACCAGCTCCTGTTTTAGATATAGATGTGGATGTCTACTGAAGGTTCTGGGAGTGCTCAGTCACAAGCAGGATCCCCCCTTGCTTTCCAAGGAGTTAGTGGCTGTACCTGCTCAGGAACTTGTGTGCAAGCATTGTGACCCATGTCCTTTAATGTAATTAGGCCTATCCAGAAACCTTTTATTTAAATCAGTTGGATTTACAAGCAAACCTGGATGGAGCTGCTCCAGACTTACCTGAGTATTAACTGAATTACCTGAGGTATTAACTGAATACCTTTGTAAACCTAGTTGTACATGACCTCTGAAAATGGGACTGAACCCTCTAGTCAATCAGAGGCCTTTGAATATTGTATGTAATTTATTCCCAGCTGATGCAAAGGAAGGTGAAAGTCCTTCATTGGGGAACTCCTCAATGCTTTTACTTCTATATTATTTTCCTCTGAAGTTTTTATTCATTCCTCTAGTTATATTATTTTTGTATGGTTCATTTTACAGAGTATTTGGATATATGGCAACCCTTAAATGTGTCCTCTGTTATCATGGATTCATCCATCTCAAACTTTGAAATGGTACAAGTTAGTAGAGACATATCCAATGACTTCTCCACTGCCAGAGACTTTTGTCTATCCGGTAAGAAATAGTTATTCATATCTTTACAGAAAATACAGGTTTGTGAGCCTGAAAAATCAAGAACAGCTTCCTCCCCCTCCCCCCCCCCCCCCCCCTTATATTATTTTTGTATGGTTCATTTTACAGAGTATTTGGATATATGGCAACCCTTAAATGTGTCCTCTGTTATCATGGATTCATCCATCTCAAACTTTGAAGTTGTACAAGTTAGTAGAGACATATCCAATGACTTCTCCACTGCCAGAGACTTTTGTCTATCCGGTAAGAAATAGTTATTCATATCTTTACAGAAAATACAGGTTTGTGAGCCTGAAAAATCAAGAACAGCTTCCTCCCCCTCCCCCCCCCCAGCTTCTGACATAGATACACTGATTTTACTTATTTTTAAAGACTACCCCAGTGTTTCTGAATTTAAGGGAAGGGACCTGAAATAGTTTATTTAATGAAAGATACAATAGACATAGAATGCCATACAGTGATTTTGTAATTTTGACACCTCTTGGGCGCAGAGATCTCTTGCTTCACCAGGCATTTTACAACTTGGAGAATATTGTAGCGAATAATTAAAGGGATGATGTCATTATTTTCTAAAGAACAGTTAAGGGAAGCTCATTGAGTGAGACAGATGATAGAGCCACCTACCATTATCTAAATTAACCTGTAGCTGTGGTGCATGAGAGCAGGTTAACTGAGAGCTGGGATGAAACAGGGGTTGGGCTGTTGTAACAACAAAGCTTTAATCAATAGCCTGACTAGACAGCAGAGAGTGCTTCAACTTCACATGACTGGCAAATCCTCAGTGCCGCAGAGCGGTAGAAATAAGGAAAAGTTCCCACCTACTGCAGAACATGGTCCTTGGAATGGTCCCACTTTTTGCAGTAGATGGTCCTCACCTTATGAGGGTGAGCAGTGTAACCTACTGTCTTTTCCTTTTCCTGTAACTGTTTGAAGGACCCTTTTCTAAAGGAAAAGTGTTGGATACCCACCTTTGAGTACAAACCAGGATGAGTGAGAGGATCACTTTTCTTATTCTGAAACCTTTCCCTGGGACTCCCTGGGGACTGTTTGAATTCAGCTGAGGTCCTCAGTACTTTATTAAAAGATGTTTTTCTTCTCCTAAAACCTGTGATACCAGTTCTTTTGCTGTATCGCTCCATTTTAAAGCCAATATAACCTTTTGTCCTTCAGCTATTTTGGAGAATGTTCTGGGAATCTGAGGACATTTATGTCCCATTATTCTGTTTTAGAGCTACTTCATATCCTTGTTGCTTGACCTGGTGCAAAACCTTTCTTTTAAGCATCTTATCACAATGTTATACAAAATACTTTGAGAATACATTTTTACCTGCTCTTTTTCTTCACATTTCACCTCACAGCTTGTTCAAAGAACCAGTCATGTACAGTGGTTACACTGGAAATCCAGCCTTCAGCAGTAAGATGCCTTTTCTACCCTGATACACAGATATGCACACATGGCCTGCAAGGGCACAGCTGCCGGGTTTTACTCAAAGAGCCAGCTACATATATCTATAGGAGACAAGGTAAGAGCAGGTTAAGGCTGTGGAGGAAGGAACCCAACTGTGGTGGCCTGTGCACAATTCTTGTGAATGGAAGAGTAACGAAATTCTTACTAGACATGAAGCAGTATGGATGTGTCCTAGGCAATTGTCCATTGCTGTTTCAGTGGAGTTACAGCCAAGCAGGATGGGAAAATGTCCCCAAATACTTTTTATAAAAATGCATGAAATCATAGTGTTACCATCTAGTGTTGAAGCAGGTATAATAAAGGAAGTCTAGTCTACGAAAGATGTTTTGGAAAGTGCAGAATGGTAAATACAAACAAAAAAACAGTAATGAAAGTCCAGCTCCTTCCTTTTCATCTGCAGAAGATGTTTCTGTATGTTCTTCCTTTTAAACTCTGAGAATAATACAAGGAGTGTTGAAAACCCACTGTCAATTGAAAGTCTTAAGGACCATCTCTGGACAAAATGAACAAACAAACAAGCACAAACAAACAAAAAACCCTAATGAACTAGATGAACTAATATTTTAAAGAAGTGAAAATGTTTTAAGAGAGAAATAGAAGTTGTGTAGACAGGCAAAAATTCTATTGTTTGGCTATGTACTTATTTGTGACTGCAGGTTTTGTTGGGTTTTCCCCCTTGATTTTAAAAGAGACTGCTTTCTTTTAGTGTAATATTGATTATTTCTTTTATTAGAAGTACTTAGAAACCAGGTAACAATAAGGGGGAAGGGAAGAAATATTTCCTTTTCTCTTCACTGAAATTTCTGTGATGAATTGACAAATCAATGAGAACCTTTTAGGTTCAAACTCGATGAGAGAAAAAGGGGTTTATCATTGTCAAGTGAGGCAAAATCACAGACTGAGACATAAAAGCTAGACTTGTGTGTTTGTATATTTATGTACAATTTCAGTTTTAGTCACGTGACTTAGAATTTGGTTCCTGCCTATCCAAATACATTGTTTTAGGAGAGAAATAGTATGAGGTATCACTTAGCTCTGTCTTAAAGTAAGGTATTATTGAAAAGCCTCTTCTTTGGATACACAGGCAATGATTCAGATAATCCTTATATAAAAAAAGAAAAAAAATTGCATCAAACTATAACAACCTAATGTTTCGTAATTTTCTGCAAGCAAAAAATAAATTCAGATAGCAATTATGTTTGATCTAAAATGTAGATTCTGGCATAAGTTCTGTGGAAGAAAATGGCAGTGTTCACAATAGAGTGTAAGGCAAGAGATGGTGATGAAGGCCCTCTGGTACCCTGCGCGCTTTCATTCCCTTCTCTGGCATGTAGAAGGCACGCATGTGCCTGCCTTAAAATGAGCACTTGCACTGGTGATTCCCGCTTCAAGAACAGCAGTCCCTACACAGGACTGTACGGAATTTGGACATGGGTTGTGCTCATTGCCTTCTGTTGAAGATCTGCTGTCTCGCGTGATGAAACAGCTACTGGAAAGGGGACTGAAGTGCAAGTCTTTCCTGGTGAGAGCCCAAACCAATGAGCTGCGTGGTTATCTTTGCTCTCTCTGACTCGCTATAAATGTTTAAAGGTTTAACATTGTGCTTTTTAGAGCTGGGGCAGGGGGAGTCTGAAAATCTCTGTCCCTTTTTGTAGAAATGCTCAGATTGTATTCTAATGTGATGTCTGATCTGGAAGAAATGTTTGAGTAAGGGTTTGGAAAGTTAAATGTTTGTATCCAGCAGCTAACATCTAGCATAGCATGAAGTATTTTATAGGGACAGAATAACACAAGTTTATCTGTGTTTCATTTAAAGATGTGAATTAAAAACTTAGCAGTTTAAAATTAAGGAAAATGGGATTAATTTTCATTTCTGAAATGGTACTAACTTGAAAAAGCAAATTTTTTTTTTCCTCTGTTCCCCCCCAATAGATTTATTCCTGCCCATTTCTGAATCGGATTTAACTCCATCTGTGTACATCCCGTCCCATGGAGATCTGATGGGCAAATCCCAGGTGATACGCATTGGCTCAGAGTGGAGAAATATCAGCCAGTTCCTGGGGATCCCGTATGCTGCACCTCCCCTTGCAGAGAGGCGCTTCAGTCCTCCAGAGCCGTTTGCTTGGGTGGAAACCTGGAATGCTACTGTGGCTCGGTAAGAAACCCCTTTGATCATCTGCAGAAGCGCTTGTCCATCCAGGTGTATGAAAATAGCTGGAGTGATGACCACGATATTCATGTCCTATCTTGCAAAAGAACCTGCAGGGTACAGATTAATACAAGTTTGGGACTTCGTTTAGCAAAAAGAATAATTTCTCTGTCTATATGTTAATGCATGCAAGCACCTCAAAAAAGGCAGATTCCAGTACATTGCCTTGAATCTATGCAAAACTCCCCACCGACTGTCTGCTGTCAGTCCATTTTCATTCTGAGTATTTAGACAGGTATTTATAATAATTATATAAATGCATTTGGCTCCTGCTGAGCCATAAATTTGTAGAGTATTTAATCAAACAGGGGTGCTTTAACACTGATGTTACCAGAAGCTGTGGGCCTCATATAGAAATTCTCTGCCTAGTAGTGTCTAGGAGATCAGGCTGAAGGACTCAGTCTTTTCTGTCCAAAAACTATTAAAAGGCACATACTTGCTAAATGGCTTGGACAGAAGTACAGAAGTTATAAACATTTTAGGTAATGCCTTAAGAGGAAACGAGCGCTAGGAACTGTGTTAGCAGATGGGCTAAATTTCTCTTAAGTCCCTATATCTAATGTTTCCCGTTGGCTGGCCCTGGCTCTCCAGGGCTGTACAGATATCACTGTTCGGTGAGTTTAGGTTGGAGGCATTCTATGGACATAGCCTTTGTGTGCATGTTTGTGTTTCATTTAGACTTACGATATGAGTCTTAATTTTGTTGCATTGGGGAACCAAAATGACAAATTGTGAATGTGTATTTCTTAAAGAAAAGAGGGTTTGGGTTACACTACTTACTATATCTGTGCTGTGGAACATGTTGGGACAGTGGATTTCTTTTGAAACAACCCCACAGCAAATAGAAATGCAGCGACAACAAGAAACAAGATGTGAAAGTGGAGTGTTTTTTATAGGGTCTTTCTCACAGTGCATCCCTGCTGCACATAATAGAAAGCAAACTACAGAGCACACGAAACCCATTTGAGCAAGCCATGCTGCACATGTACACAGAAAGTTGATACATGAGAGCTGGTACCCGATCACGTTCCTATCAATAAAAAGCAGACTGTTTCATGGCAGGCATGAGGAGCTGCAAGGAAAAAAAAATGACAGAAACAAGAAACAGGAGACTGAAGGTGCAGAACAGTCAAAAGGAGAGAGTCTAGTGGAAAGACTCGGTGAACTTTCTGTAGAGGGAGTTGAAGAAATCAGGGCTGAGAGCTGAGGTTTAGTGACCCAAGAGCTTCCAAGGCAACTAATATGAACCTGAGGTCTATTGAGATCCTGTGTTATCCTTCCAGCCACGGCTGGCCATGCAGTCCTGTTCAACTCCTGGCACCGGGAGCGGTCCTTACATGGTTAGTGATGAACCACTTGAGCTAGCTGATCTGTCCCAGAGCTTACATGGTTAAGGAAATGATAGATTTTGCAAGGGAGCTGGGAGGATGGCACACTGTAGACCTGACATGAATCACCACCTGCTTTGGTGGAACCGCACCCTGAGGCTACAGATTTAGAGACCTATCAGCTGTGTGGAAGCTGTTTGGTCCCTCCATTACTCAGGATTTATCTCCAGAGGTTTCTAGCAAAGCCTGTGACAAACCAAGTGAAAAGAGATGCAGCGTTGTCTTAAAGAGTTGAAAGAGCATCTGGCCTTTGGTGGTCTCACCCTTCATGTTGCACCTGTGTTGTGGAGGTGTTAACAGCATAACCACAGTAGCCACGCAGCCTCACGTACATTGGAGGGATCTGGTGAGACGTGGCTTTTTGTTTCCTCAGGTGCACAGTGATGTTAGGTTAACACACACACCATCAGCTCTTTGTGTCTGCAGCCACAGCATGGTGTCTGCTAGGACTTTGGTAAGAGCCATCTGCCTCTGTGGTCTCTCTTTGAAGACCTGGTGTTGCAATGAGCAGACAGGCTGAGATTTTCAAAGCAATTTAGGGACCTTAGTTAATCTGCTCCTAATTTTTGAATTCTCAGTGCTTCCTTAGGCTGATGAAGAATTTGGCCATTATCTTCTATTATTCATTTAAGGTTAAAAAAATAATTCTTTGAGCTTAGCACCATGGAGGTGCACTTGGAGAATCAGAGGAACCTCAATCTGTGTGTGTATAGAAAGTGTTGACATCTATATTTTTTAGGATGCTATGTTGGTGTTGCACAATATTTGTATATAAGAAATTCACATTAGCACAGTGACATTACTGACGGAGGAGAAATGTTTATTTATCAGCCTGGACCTGATAAAAGACTTTAAATAAACCAAACCAAACAAAACCAACCAAAAAACCTGTCCAGCTGTTGGAGTCTCCAGCTGTGGACTTGCCTCAGCAGGTGGCAGCCTTTCCCCGGAGTCAGTCCCAGCATGAGGAGATCCTGGGAGCTAGAGGTGCTGGGAATCTTGATGAATTACTAAAAAAAAAAGAAAAAAAATAGCACGGGTGATGATTCCTGCTGCCCTGTGGAAAGCTGTACAATTATTAGCGTTAGACCTGTTGTCCTAGCCAGGTTCCTACCTGGGAATTTGTATTTTGTCTGCCTAAAATGGCTTTACAAGTTTTGGTTGGAGATGATGTGCTTCTCTACGTCAGTGTGAAAGCTATTGGGTGATATCACCGTTCTAGGAACCTCCCTTATGGAAAGATTTTGTAGAATTACATTAAAGCTGGTCCTTTTCCTTGTAGTTTTCTATTAAATTCTTCACACCTTCAGTGTAAAATTTTACAAGGGCATTAAAAATGATAATTTAGAAATAATTCTCTGAGATATTACTGTCTTTTCCATAGCCTTTTTTGGCTTCTTCCCTAATAACTTGTGATGCTTTTCCAAAACTCATTATGTGATAGAAATATGGCTGTCAGGTAGAAGGAGCTGGCTTCAAAATAGCTTATACGTGAACTGTAAAAGTCATCCACTTGATTCTTATTGTGGAGAGAGCTCAAGTATATGAATCTCATACAGATGATGGCCAGAAAATGAATTTCTGTACGTGGCTGGCTGGCTGAATTCCTATTGAAAGGTTACTTTTACCATTGCTGGGCACTGTTAATGGTCTGCTATGATGCTTAGAGCAAACAGATTTTAAAAATGCATTAAAATTTTAAACTTACCATATTTACCCACAGACCATTAGAAATTAAAATAAATATGAATAAATGTAGCCCACAGACTACACTACTACTAATTAGGGATTAAAATAAATAACTGGCATTTCAGCAAAAGAGTGGATTACATAGGTGTGCAGGCAATAGCAGGGGGAGACCTGTGCCCGAGACCCCCAGTCCTGCTCCCCTTACATCTGGTGCTAATTTTGGGCAGTTTATGTAAAGCATGAGTTTTCTGAAGGCTTATTTTCAAGTTCTCATCTTTTTAAAATGCGGCTGGTTTTCTGAGGGAAGGATTCTAGACATGAAAATACAATGTGGTTTTTACATTTGTATATGTGTGAACAAACCCACATACTTGTTACTAAGGTATAGGTGGGCATAGTCTTAAATGTGATTGAGATCTACAGATTTAAAGATTTTATAAACTTAGTGCATCAAAATGTAAGGAAATAGCAGCAGTGGAAAAAGAGTACAAGCCTTTTTATTGTCATTTTCTCCATCCATGTCTCTAGAGCAGCTTGTTGGCAGCCAGGAGATGGAGAGGCCCCATCATACTCTGTCAGTGAAGACTGCCTATATCTGAATGTCTTTGTTCCTGCCACCACTGTAAGTAGGAGACAAGTCGATTTTTTTTGTAGCTGGCTCTTTTCAAAGTACTTTTAATTGCCATGAACAATTGTTTTTCATGTGGTGTTCACAAAGCCCTGCAAGGTTAAATTAGGTGCTTTGTTGTTTGTACTGGTGCAAGAGTATTCCCTATATGCTTTCAGTGAGCCATGTTTGGGTAACTAGGAGGGTAGAAAAAAACCTAGAAATAAGAGAGAGACAAAGAGGGAAACAAAACACAAGAAGAAGGTGGCAGCAAAGGAGGAGAAATTAAGGACAGAAATGGCAATGTCCCTGAAATGAGACCATCTGTCCAGGAGATGATAACGTGATACAACACGTCACATCAACACTTAACACCAGTTGAGCAGCACCAGATGGTTTTTTTTTCACCCTCATCTTTACGGTTCCCCTGTTGACATCTGTGGGAGCTCTGTTGAGGAATGAGGGTAGCAAGCAATGCTAGATTTGTTCCCAGCCCACAGAGCATAAAAATAGACATTTTAAAGATGACTAGGCCAATGGTGCAATCTGAGAAATTGTCATTTGAAAGCTCTTGAATTTCTCATTCTAAATAGATAGAAAATAAAGCTTCAAGTTAAAGCCAAGCTTAGATGATTGGCCAAACCCCTGGGGGGCTGGGGATAAAGATGTGAATAGCATGTGACTCCCATTGAAGAGTGGGCTCAGAGAACAGGAATGGAGTTTTTCTTTCCACAGTACTGGTAATTTTCAGAAGGTGACAGTGGTTATAATAGAAATTTATGAGTCTGTCATACTGCATGTCTGGAAAGAGCTGGTTAACCATCTGACAGCAGCACACACAGTCCCTTGCAGGTCCTTTTAATCACCAGAAAGACCAGCGGTCTGTTTTCTCCCTGCAGCACCCGACTCTCATTTTGCCTTGAGTGCAGTCATCGCTTATTGAAAACATCAGGTCACTGTCCCAGGCAGTTTGCCATCTCTGCTTAAGTGCTGCTTTCAAGATAGCCTATTTGCAAGCAGTGTATTTTCTACTATCTGATAGACTAAACTGGCTTGTCTTTTCTCCTTGGTGGTACTGAGAACTGAATCCGTCCTGTCTTTTGTAGAGGTGTAAGGTAGAAGTAGGTCCGGTCAAGTCAATCAGTTTCACATGTGTAAGTCTAGCCAGGAGAGAACCAAAACTTCTGTTTTTGCAGAAGTAGCAGGGAGCAGAAGGCATGGCATTTTCCTGTTTCTTTTTGTGGCGAGCTCTATTTTTTACTCACATACAGAGAGCTATAGTGATATATTTTCAGCCCATGGAAAGTTAAATTAGCTAATAAATACTGAATATTAAACCTCCTGGAGAGCAGTGAATGCAGAGGTCATTCAGGAGCCTTTTGAGCCTGAACGAGAGCACAGTGCAGGGACTGCTGCCTGCCACCAAAGGACTCTTTAAGTGTCAAGCAGTGAAGAAGATGAATGACATCACCTCATTTTGCTTCCATAGCTACATGTACCACATAACCCTCCAAATAAAACTGGCACTTCTGAGAGACTTTTTTCCACCTATAACCTGATCACCACCTGTCACACGAGCAAAGCAAAGCTGTGCTTCAGCTTGATTTGCAAAGGGTTCAAATGTAAGATCAAGAGTTGAAACTCTCCCCTAAAAAAGAAAAGAACGTGTACCCTCTCTCCTCTTCTCCCATCCCCTGCACGTATTATTCCCATCCTTATTGCAGCATCCCTGTTGCACTCAATTCTTTACAGAGCAATATTGTGCAGTAGTAAAAGCACTTGAGGTTGCCTGGCTCGGTAGAGTTTAAATCTGTCCATGCCAAGTAGCTCATTAAGAGTTTTACAGAAGGATGGAGAAGACAATTCTGAATATTATAAAGCCTTTCAGATTTCCAGCTTACTTGCAGCTTCCTGATTGATGCTGAACTTCCCTCCCCCTTGAGGGTTTGCACATGGGACCTAAGCCCCTACAGGCATGAGACCACAGTGGAGCTGCTGGGCTCCCCAGAAGACATTGCCCCACTAGCTAAGCCAGGGAGCCATCTGACCATGTCCCAGCTGGAAGTCTTTGCACAGATTTTATACCTCAAAGTGCAACTGTCTGCATTTTGTTGCTAAGTATGGAGCAAAACCCTGCACTGGGCAGTAGCCACGTGGTAGCTGTGGCCTGTCTGCAAGGAATGTGCTGGCCCCACTCTGCCCAGCATTGCCCCAAAGGTGCCCCACTGCAGGCTGGCATTGATGCTGGTGGTGCTGCATCTCAGCCTGGTACCAAGTGGTGGTGGGTGAGGAGACTAGCTCCAGCAGGCTTTAGTTAAGGTCTTACATTTCTTCTGCCTCACAGATTTAATTGCAGTGGTTGATTGAAGTTGGTTGAGAATGAGGCTTATTAAAAAGAAATTAACTTATATTCAAAATAAATTATCCAGCAGCTAATGTACAGTAAAAAATTAATTTGCTACCAAATATATATATAGATAGATAGGTGATATGAAATATCTCATATTGTGAGACATAGTTCAATTACAGCATGAAAATAATTGTGCTATGCTGTTAAAATGACTAACAAGAAATGGGAAGGCAATTATGTTAAACAGCCCTCATCTCAAGTGCCCAAATCCATAAGCTCTGAGATTGAAATCCCTTGGGATTAAACCCCAAACTATTTTTCATTATAGTTTACCTTTACATAGGAGAGGGATCAGTCATTGCTTGATGCAGACTAGGAATGGAAATGCTACCTCCAGCCACTTGGCACTAGGCACAGCCCAGGTGCTCAGTCTTCCCCTGAATTGCTCCATATCTGTTGCAGTAGGCTTTGTTTTGCTGTTTTTAACTTTTATCTCCCATCTTTGCCTTTCTTAAGCTTTTCATCACTAAAGCATTGGGTAAAGTCACTCAGCATAATGTAATATACAATTTACAGGGCAGCTGGAGGTCATGGTGCTATGCAGGCTGTGGACATGTGGGAAATGCCTAGTTGGAACCTCAGGCTTAACCATGCTGAGCTGAGGGGACGGAGCAGGCTCAACATCATGTTTAATACCGTTTTAGCTGAATGGCTCAATGTGGTTGTATTTTAGAATGAATTTCCATGTGAAAACAGATTCTTTCATTTTTTTTCTTTGCCCCCATCTCTCTCTCTGTGCTGCATGTGGTGCAGAAATGGGAACCAGGGACAAGGCACTGTGAATTAGGCAATTTCTATTCAGGAGCAGAAGTTCTTGAGAGAGAGCATCATGTTTCAGTGCTTGCAATTTCTGGGGTTTTCTTAGTAACATTGTCGTGTTCATAAGAAACCTCTGAAGTGATTCTGCAGATAGATAAGTGAAGAGTGCACACAGTCATGACAAATTAAGGGCAGCTGAGGAGATTTTGCTTCCTATCCTGTAATTTTGCAGGAGGCTGCAACCGTCACCTCTCTCCTGCTTCTCCTGTACAGCCAGTTGCATTTTTGCTGGAGACATCCTTTGCCAGAGCAGATGGAACTGCTGTGTTTAGCTAGGCTCCATCCAGAAAATAACAGCAACAGAGCCCAATGCCCTCTAGCTGCAGAGAAAAACAAGCCTCAGATATACTTTGATGCTTCTGCAGGGGCCACCAGCCCTTCTTTGAAAAACACCAGCAGTTGCCAAAGCAGAAAGCGGGAGGGGTGGGTGTGCGCAACCCGCTGCTGAGCAGAGGAGAGAGGAGCCTCCTTCAGGATAGTCCCAAAGTGGGCAATAGGGGATGAAAGTGCTGAATGAAAAATAGAGGTTACACTTTGAAAAAAACTTTTTAGCATTGGAGCAGGTTATTCTGCTTTTGCAGTGGGAAGGAAAAAAAAAAAAAGCAACCGTCACCTCTCTCCTGCTTCTCCTGTACAGCCAGTTGCATTTTTGCTGGAGACATCCTTTGCCAGAGCAGATGGAACTGCTGTGTTTAGCTAGGCTCCATCCAGAAAATAACAGCAACAGAGCCCAATGCCCTCTAGCTGCAGAGAAAAACAAGCCTCAGATATACTTTGATGCTTCTGCAGGGGCCACCAGCCCTTCTTTGAAAAACACCAGCAGTTGCCAAAGCAGAAAGCGGGAGGGGTGGGTGTGCGCAACCCGCTGCTGAGCAGAGGAGAGAGGAGCCTCCTTCAGGATAGTCCCAAAGTGGGCAATAGGGGATGAAAGTGCTGAATGAAAAATAGAGGTTACACTTTGAAAAAAACTTTTTAGCATTGGAGCAGGTTATTCTGCTTTTTGCAGTGGGAAGGAAAAAAAAAAAAGTAAGAAGCTAAACAAAACCCCTCCATGTGTTTCACTGGTATTTCTTCTGAGTGTCATCTTGACAGAGCTGTAATCTGCTGGTAAATGCTGAGGTCTCCTGGGGCAGTTCTGCTTTTGTGCTGCTTATGCAACAGCAGCCTGGCTGCAGCCCTGCTGTGTGTGCAGAGAGGGTTGACACAGATGGGGTCCTGCTTTGGGAAAAAGCCTCTGTTTCTGAGCAAAATCGGGTGGCTCTGCAAGGAGTGCTAAGATGGGCAGCAGCCCACTGTAGCTCCTTCCCATCCCGGGAGTCCTGCTGGGCTCTCTCAGGGCAGACACCCTCTGTGCTTCATGAGAGGTGAGTCTCTCCCATGCAGAGACAAAGTCCTCTCTGCTTGACCCCTCTATATATCTAGTAGGGGAAAACCTCCATGGGGACTGAAGAAGCAATGAGAAGCTCTTGTCAAGTGAGGTTTTTGAGACTAGGCAGTGTTTAAGTGCTGAAGACTTGAGAGTAGGAAGCAGCTCTGCACAGCTGTTGAGTTAGACCTGGTCAAAATGAAGCAACCCAACGGGCCTTTTCCTTCTCCTGTTTCCCACTTGTTTGAACTTTTCCTGCATGTTTGTGTAAAGCAGACATGTTACAGCAAAGACGAGCCCGCCACATGCTCAATGACCAAGTCAGCAGGATGGGTCTGCCTTGAGCTAACCTGGTAGAGTTGTTGGCTGGTGGAACACAGTGGTGCGTTAAATCTTCTTTATACTGGACGTAGTGTCCTCTTTAATGGTATGTAGGTCATTGTGGACAATTTAGCCCTAGAATTTCAGACAGATGGCCAGATATCCCCTCATTATGGTCACTGTTAAAGAGCTATGAATGGCTTAGATAATGTTAATGGGGAAGATGCTTGTGTTCTCATCAGTGACCTACAAAAGCAGTTGGCTACAGGAATATTAACCTGGTTGTTTCCACGGCAGGTCAAAAACATGTCAGTGTTACTGTTCTTCCACAATGGAGGGAGTTACAATGCTGAGGAGGGAAAGACAACCATAGATGGATCATACCTAGCTGCCATCAGTAATGCCATTGTCGTGACGGCAAACTACCGGGTTGGTGTTTTTGGCTTCTTCAGTATTGGTAAGTCATGGATTTCTAGAAGAAGCACAAATATGGGCTAAATTGCATTCTGTAACACTTCTGTTTCTATTTTTCTTTTTTTAAAAAGATGAGTTATTTTTTAATTTGAGAAACCTATATCTTTCACTGATTTTTTTTGGGGGGAAAAAATGGCCAAGAAATGGTGGGGACTTGATCTGAAGAGAAAGGGGAGAGGCTGGAGGCAAAGGGACAAGAACAAAAAAAACCCAAGCATCTATATCAAAACACTGGCTAGACTTCTGTTTGCAGATGAAACTGTGGATATTGAGTTTTGCAGGCACACAGAAAGATAGGTTAGGCATTACAGTTCCTGCTAATTTCAGTGGCCTGTCATTGTGGATGTGGTTTTCAATGTCTCTGACTTCCAGCTGTTCCAACCATAAAATTTTGCTAATGCTCAGTTGTGCCCGTGTCAGTCAGGGAGAGAGAGAGAGGGATAACTGCAGGTTAATGGTAAGAAGGCCATGAAAGTATAGCGCAAAGATAGTTGGTTGGTTCCTCAGTAATTCAGCCTGACTTCTCCTCTGAAGGACTTGGCATGTTTAATTTTAATTCTGTCCTGGACGTGACTGCACATTCGCGTGTTCTGTGCTTGCACCTCTTCCCCATACGCTAGTGTAAAGGACGCTTTTGCTCTCCTATTGCCTCCTAATACCAATTGCCATTGAAAATTATACAAATTCTCATTACATACAGGATTTTATCTTGTGCAAAGAGGCATGTACACATGAAAATGCACATTCACATCTCCCTAAACCTTTGTGGTAGTGCCATCTGGTCTTTGGGATTGGTTTTTGCATTTTGCATTTTATTAGATTTAAAGTTTAAGCAAGTGGGGAACACTTTTCTTTCTACCATCTTTCAATTCTGGCTGGGACAGGAGAACTTAAAGTAGATAGCCATGGAGAGAAAATGCAACAATTGCAAGTGGAGCTCTGGCTCTATTGGTCTGGTGGCAATCCTTGGTCTCTCTAGTGGACATTTTAGTACCTTTATAACCTTTAGGAGGTTATATTTGCCATGTTTGCAAATACCAGACCTGCATACTTTGCCTCATGATTCTTTTGAGTATTTACTGCTAGTGACGCTGGGTGGATTTTGCCTAGTTTGGGGTTATAGCTGCAGCTATTGGTTATTGTTTCCCATCTCTGTTTTACTGTTTTGTTCAAAGCTCACTCCCAGCAAAGCCTGTTTTTCATTCAGTAACTAGAGAGCCGGCGCTACAAACTCCTTACTCATTTAGATATGAAGTTGGTAATAGGTGTATCTGGGGAAAGAATCACTGTTTTCATCAGTGCAAACCAGATGCTTATGAAAGTGATACCGTGGCTTCATTTTGGCTAGAGCCAAATGCAGTGCAAGCCTCCATTACGCAGCACTGCCCACGCGTTACCCACTAACCTCCTTCAGCCCTGTGAATCTCACCTAGGTTTCTTCCTAAGTGGAAACTGCTAACTGGGCTGAATATTATATAGCAGTATTTATATGATGGTCCATAATTTAGGGATCAGGAAAATTCTCCAGCCTCTTTTTCATAGGGAACTGCACACATATCCCAAAATGTCAGTGCGTGAGCTGAACGTACCAAATTTGCATTCCTGTAAACCTTCGGATAGAGGTGGTTCATTACGAGTAGGGAGTATTCGGGGGCCCTCTCCTTCTCTGTACTATGGAGCTGTGGCCAGGGAAAAGTGCAGTCTTTCCTGGCCTCTTCCCCTGTGGGAAATCCTTGGTGTGCATTTGGGAAAATCCTGTTGCTCCAGAGGGAACTGGAGCAAGTAGGAAAAACTCTTTGCAAGAGTCATTGGAGCAAACTAAGAACCACATTCATGGGAAGCCCTAAAAATTCCTTCAGTGCCATACTCCTGTCTCCCCTATGTCCCCTTTAGTCCATGTGGGGATGATGAGGTGTGGTATGTTTGTACCAGGCTCCCTGTCAGCATGGATTTTCAGTCATACCCATCCTGGTGAGCAATGCTCCCACTGCAAGATCTATTCTTTGGTCCACCACAGGTTGGTGGAGCACCTCTGACTCCTGTACACGACCAGTAAACACTGGGGATTTTCAATGAAGGTTATCAAACTGGGTCAAATACTATAAGGGTTTTTCTCAAGACACAAACCAAATCCGTAATGACATTCCAGGGATGTTTCCATTCTTACTGAAAGACTAGGACAAATGCTGGTCCTTTGGAAGTTTTGCCATCAATTTCAAAGGGGGCAGGAGCTCACCCTTAGGACTGTGGGGGCATTAGCAGCAGGACTGTTAGAAGGCCCTGAAGTTACAAACAAAAGTTATGATCTTGTAAGCAATATCAATTTCATTGTCCAACTAAGCAAAGTGCTGAATCCTCTCACGTTGACTTGTTATAAATTGCAAAGCTAGAAATGAAGGAGTTAAATGGAGATTTTGGGGGATGAAGGGTAGTGAAAACAACCGAGTTCCTTTTGTTTGTTTGTTTGTTTTTGTTAGTTCTGCAGTTGTTCTGGTCTCTCATTGACAGGGCTTTTGCAAGCAGTCAAAGAGCTCTTATTCTTCTAAGAGTAAAGGATGTTTCATTTAATTTGCTATCACATTAATGTTGCAAAAAGTGATGCACATTCTTACTAGTGCCTTCACCTCTTGCTCTGCACCCAGAACAGTTAAGGTGAATTGCCAATATGGATGGCAAGAGTATGGAGAAGTCAGTCATGTTTTTAGGCCTGATTCTTTTAAGAGTCCATGAAGTCATATAAACCAGGATGATTTTCATGCTTAAATTTAGCACTATTATTCTTCTCCAGTTCAGTAATAACAGAAATGCACATGCATGTCCTTGTTTGCTTCCTTCTGAACACTGGTTTCTTTTCATTCTCCTGTGGTCCTCAGGAATGTGATCTTTTTCTGCAAAAAGGCAATGGAAAAGATTCCTGGCAGATATGTTTCTTTTGGTCTAACTACTGTGAATGTCTGTGCATGCATCTGTTCCCCAGTGTGGTACATTTCACAACCTGGCTGTGGTTTTTGCCAGGGCAAAAGGAACTGGTTATATTTCCCTTCTTGGTCTTGTTGTTTAGTATACCGGTAAGCAAGGCACATTGTGTGGCTAAAACATTTACATGGATTTCACTTCCTCTGGGGAGGTTTCACGAGGCATGCAGCAAGCCCTTGAAATGAGGTTTCCTTTTTAACAGCATAGAGTAGGCTTATAGCTGGATTGAGAATCCTGGGAACTGGTCGTGGTGTGCAGAACAAACTAAGAAAAACCTAAAAACTAAAGCAGGAAAGTTTTTCCTCCATTGCTTCACTGGTGTGGCTTGGCCTGATCATCTAAAACTATGGCTATAGGTGGAAGGCTGTAGTTTCTGGGGCCATTTAGTTCTTGTCTGTCCTACTGAAAGGGCATTTATAGTGATGGCTGTTGTGATGTGGGTATCTGTAAGATCTGCAAGGCTATCAATAATCTGGTTTCCTCTATATTCTATTCTGCTGCTTAAATTGGTCTCTATGATATCTCAGTAATTCGTTACGGTAGGCATATGGATTTCTGCTACAGGATGTATGCTTTCAGTTGCTCTTTGCCTGAGCCAGGGCTACCTGTCCATGAAGTGGTAGCTTTTTATTCCACTATCTGTTCATTTTGATTCACTAGTTTCTGAGCTTATGCTTACTTTAAAATTGTACTATTTGGTGTTGGCAATGGAAGCAACAGTTTCAGCTGTGTTTCTATTCCTGGCTTTTCTGTCTTGTCTTGTTTGTTTTTTTTTTTTCCCCAAGTTTTAAATGTGGAGAATTTAAAATCATTAAAAATGAATGGCTCATTGTGGATTAAAAAGAAGTAGACAGTGAATAATCATTTTCTATTCCTTTCTTATGGACTGTGTAGGAATTACTTATTTCTGCTTTTGTTGATATAAAATTAAGCTTGCCTAAGGGTTTGTATCATTTGATGCTTTCAGCATTATTTTCCTATTAATAAAAGTACCAGGTTACCACTGGTTGGTGTTGAAAAGAAAGTAGTGTTTTCAGCGGTGATACCTAAGCATGGGGAGTACATGATTAATTATTTTTCTTTTGTTTTCATGGGAACAAAAATATGAATACATATAAATCAGACCTCTATCAGTTAGACATAGGTCAATCTCAAAGGATATATATGGAGATATTATAAATTATAAAATAATATCTGTACGTGTGTAAAGAAATGCAAGATGATATGACTTATAAATGATTGGTCCGACAGGGTAAGTGTAAAAGGTATGTAGGAAGCAAACAAATGCAATCAGGTGTACTCCAGGGAAACAGTCGATGATCCTTATGGGTCCCTTCCAACTTGAGAATTTGGCAAACACTCTGATTTTTTGTTTACATTTAATTCATGTTAAGATCGAGCTACTTATGTAGAAGAAGAATCTCATGGCCTGAAATTACGGATACTTGAGCCTGGATTCAAGTCTCCTGCCATGAGGTGTCCGAATGAAGCTTAGAAGTTGGAGTGTTATTTTTCTATGATCAGGACAGACAATTAGGCACCTCCAGGGATGCCTGGTGGAGTGGTAAAAACTGAAATGGAGTCAATCTGTAAAGTGATGACCTTGGAAGAGACCACTTCAGATGTTTAAACTCTGGTATCAGTTTCGTCAAAGTTCAGCTGCAAGAGCTGCTAAAAATGTAACATTTAATCAAAACTTTAAATGTTTATAGTTTTATTTCTTTTCAGACCTATTTGTTTATTTTCCACAATAGGTTCTCCTGAGGCAAGTGGAAACGCTGGCCTTTTGGATCAATTGGCAGCTTTGAAGTGGGTGCAGCAGAACATCGCTAGCTTTGGGGGAGATCCAAGACGGGTTTCTTTAGGAGCTGACCGTGGCGGGGCAGATGTTGCCAGCATTCACCTGCTCACAGAGACAGCGGATATGGACCTCTTCAAGAGGGTGTTGTTGATGGTAAGTCCCATTCCTGCCACTTCAACTTCATTGTGAAAGGATGTTGTTACAGACATGAGGATGTTGCAGTTTGTGGGTGCTGGTTTTATTTCATCCATACCTTGGCAGCACTAATAGGGCTGTTATTGCTATAGTTATTTTTCATCTCACCTGTGACTGCTATCTCCAGGAGCTGGGTGCTTCACAAGGATGTACAAGATGTGCACTTTGGTGATTGATTTAGTCATAGTAAGAATCTGGTTTTCGTCATTGTGGTTTTCTGTGTATTATATAAATAGTCTTCTTTCATAACTTATAGGTACAACAGGTTAGTTTCCATTCCATAAATACGGTTGTTGATCAGCAGTTTTTAGACTCTAAAACTTATGAGCCAAACATCCGCATGTTTAAAGTATCCAATCTTTTTATCTGATCTCATGACAGATTTCATTTAAAACAAAAAGCAAGTTTCAGAGAGAGAGTAAAAATCTGTTTACCCACAGGCTTGTTTGCTGTCAGCTTGGACCATTTTCACAGTCACCCCAAGTGATCCGTATTTTTACAGCCCTTCCCGTGTCAAATCTCAGGGCTTTGAGATCAACTTTGTCAGCGTCGATACTACCATTGATCTTTACAGCCTCAGATGAGAGTAGTGTGCTTGGAATCATAGAATCATAGAATAGTTTGGGTTGGAAGGGACCTCTAAAGGTCATCTAGTCCAACCCCCCTGCCGTGGGCAGGGACATCTTCAACTACATCAGGTTGCTCAGAGCCCC